CAGAATCCTATTACGTTTAAAATCGGAAGTTCTCGCAATATACCATCAATTTTGTAAAAAACAAGAATAATTATCCTCTTTTAGTTTGATCGCTTGCATATATAATAGGTCCGTTAATCTTGTTAAACTACAAATTTAGACTTACAATTGTTATTTGTTTAACAAGACATTTGAAGGGGTAAAACGGGATACCTATCTTGAATATTATTGTGTTATTTAAAAATTTAATTAAAGGTTTCATAATTTTTGGTAGTTTGTTGTTTATAACTCTGAAGCTAGAAAGATTAAATACATCAAAAAACTGCTAATCATACAATTTTAATCATTCATAAAATGACTCGATTATTGATTTACAGTTTTAAACCACATAAATCGTTAAGGACGTAATTCTTAAAAATGTGCTCAAATGCCAAATAAACTAACATGGACATTAAAAATATTACTTGTTTTATGAAAGTGACAAAGGGGTTGCGTGTTCATAATAATGATATTTCACTAAAGTTTTTTAATAAAATATTTAAAATGATCCGCTCTCTCTGCAAAACGGGACGCCTATCACACCTTCCGGCCCTGCAATTTCATGTCGAAAAGCAAATCTGGCAAATTCAGTAAAACAAGTCCTAGTCCCTAACATTTTCGTTTCTAGGGTCAATGGGCATGTGTTCAAACTACAGGTTCTCAAAAGTTATCAACTGCTCGCCGACCTCTCTTATCTGCTCTACATGACATGTCCAAACGCTGTTGTCGTCTAGTTTAATATTATACTGTAAATCACCTATACGCCTCTCACACACAATGACCGCAAACTGCAATTTCACTTTCGACAGATAATCCCACACCGTTATTCTCTTTCCCACTTCAAAAAACTTACTAGATGGTATATATGGACCTCTTTTGACGTTATTTTGCGATAATAAACAGAATAACTGTGTTTGTTTTTGCTTCCCAAGCATCAAAATTTCTGGCGATTTTTGTGTTGTGGGAACTTTTTTGCTTGTACGTTCGTTACAGGGTGGTACGGTGCTCCTTGATTGTGTGTAATACCGTAGCTTTTGAAAAATTCTTAATATTCTGCTCAATTTAACTGAGTAACGTGATCTGACACTATTTTGTGTGGAATGCCAATCGTTGCGAATATTGTCTCACATACTTGTATAGTTGTTTCTGCAGAAAAATTACGTATTAAATTCACTTTTGGCCAATTCATATGAACATCGATTAATACGAAGAAATGTTTTCTCATAAAGGGTCCGGCAAAATTCACATAAACATACTCAAATGGTTTCTTTGGTATTTCCGATGTACGGGATTGAGTTTTTTATTGTCCGGTTGTACAATTTGGCATGGCTCACAATTTTTTACCACATTTTCGATATCTTGATCTATTGCTAGCCTCCAGTAATACGGTCTAGCAAACTGCTTCATGATACAAATTCCGAAATGCCCCGTATGCAATTCGTTCAATACTCTTAAGGAACATTTTGGGATGTACACACGAATTCCACGAAGTAAACAACCTTTTTGTACCGTAAATTGTAATTGTTCTATTTTGAAACTGCTTGAAGTCTCGCATTGTCTTTTGTCTTCTATATTTCAGTTATTTTAATAAAATATCACGGTCAAATTTTTTATTAACTCTGTGTCTACGAGATCCACTTGTTCAACGTGCTTATATTTTTGGCCTCTGGAAATTGTGAAATTGCGTCTCAGAATAGTCTTTCGATTTCTTCATGTGCATGCCGTAATCGAAAGCTTCCAAGAATACTGCGTAAGGCTGCATTCTTCTTATAAAAATATGGGTAGTCTTTTATATGGAGCGATACGCTTGTGATACCGCTTGCTTGTCTGTAACCAATGTTGTAATGAACCCCTTTAGGTGGGGACGTCTATAACTGGGATAGTTTAGCCGTAGCCAAAGTCCTTACAAGAAAATTTGTAACAAAACTCCGACTCACTGGGCCAACTGCCGATCGTATACCTATGATCTCAGTTTAAAATCAAGTTTAAAATAAATCCCTTATTTTATTTCAATTGGTATATTTCTTTTTTATTCTTCAATAAACTTAATGTTCACAGTAATTATATATAAAAAAATATAAAATTTTAAATCGCAAATGTTATTTAGAATATTATTAAAAGCAGCTATATATTTCTTAGTCGTAGCTGGTTTCAAAGACTCGGATATTATCATTAGAGACGCAACGATAAAATATCTTAGACGCTGCGAGTTTCAAAGACTCGGGTATTATTGTCATGACGCAGCTATACAATTACTTAGACACAGTTAGTGTTCAAGAGGCACAATATTATATTCTTAGACGCAGCTCGGTCAAAAGGCACAATATTATGTATTCTTAGATGCAGCTCGGTCAAAAGAGACAAAATATAAATTATTAGAAGCAGCTCGATTTACAAGCATAATTATTATATATTCTTAGGCGCAGTTCGATTTTAAAAACACAATATTATATATTCTGTTGTTATAAATCTCTTACCATTTTTCTGGCTACTCGAGTCTCATCTTACTCTGGAGTTCCTTGCGTCGATTCCTTGCCGCAGGCACTATATTTTCGTGTTATGCCATACCTTTTGCATAAGATTTTCATAGAGTATGTTACTATTAAAGCCTTCTATGTAATTCCTCCATCTGAGAAGGAAGCTCCTAGACTGGTATGCTAAACGTTATATAGTGGAATGCCTTGTATAAAAAGTCTGCTCCGTCCCAGGCTGAGCTTTTTCTTCTTCGCCAAATGCGGTCCTTTTTGTTTCAAATCAACGTCGAATCTGTTCAAAAGCTTTGAATAATATTCGCCGGTGATCATTTTACCTTTCTCGAGGTAATCGATGTGAATGACATCGCTTGCATCCCAAAAAACTATGGCCAAGACCTTGTTGACTGATAGACTCTGTTTGGACTTCTTTGATCCACGTTCACCCCTAGCAACCCAGTTGTTTGTTGATTGTTCCTTGGTGTCTAGCGTGTTGTGATGGATCCATGTTTCATCCATAGTAACAAAACGGCTGAACATCACTAAACACTCTTTTGAAGTGGTCACACGATTGCGCTTATGGTCGAGTGTGAGCAATCGCGGCACCCATATCACGGAGAGTTTTTTCATGTCCAAATATTCATGTAAAATATGATGTAACCGTTCAGTTGAGATACCTACAGCATGAGCCAACTCACGCACTTTCATTCTCCGATCATCCAATATCATTTCATGTTTTTATCGACGATTTCCGGCGACCTGAACGATTTCCGGATCATTTCTTTTGGGCGACCTGAACGTTCGACGTCACTAGTGCTGGTACGACCACAACGGAACTCTGTAAACCACTTCTTAACCATTGAAATTGATGGTGCCGAATCCCCATAGTATTTATCAAGTCTTTCCTTAGTTTCAGTTATGGATTTTTTACGTAAAAAGTAATGTTTAATCAGCATACGAGGTTGTCTGCTTTGAACGGCTATTAAACACCAACTGAACGACGTAGCTTGCTCAAAATTAGAAAGTTGCCCACTGGTAGATTACATCTGACGGCAGCACTGTTGCATTTGGAGTAACTGCGTGGGAAATTCAAAAAGTCACTGACTTATCAAACCGCTCTCGTACTTCTTCTATTCTTTTAAGGTATGTTCTATAATAAGGCCCTGTTATCTTGATAACAGCTCTTTCTAAAAAAACTTTCACTCCAGAAAAATCTACTAGTAATCTACTAATAGCTTCACGGTGTACAACCACTCTCTACCTAGCAAGGGTTTCTTATCTGAACGTACTACCTAAGCTTTGAACCATTTCTTATCCACCATTACTTTAACGTAACCCAAACATTCAATTGGTGTTTTACAATAACTAAACAAGTTTTCATTACCCGGTTACACGTTCGATTTAGGAAAGTACTTCTTAACATTATATATATGTATATAATATAGTGACTGAGAGCCCGTGTCCAGTTAAAATTCTATTTGAATATCGTTCACTTCAAGTACGCAAAAAAATTTTCTTACGTACATCACTTGCACTCTATTTTTCGTTACCTGCAGTAAATCCTTAGAGATTTCGTCCACCCTGTTCACAAATATTTGTTTAATGGAAGGTTTATATTTTAAACCCACATTTTCTAGATGATCTGTATCTTTATAGAAATGACAAATCGGCTTTATATGCCTGCATTTATTAGTCATGCGTGTTACTTTACCACTCTACCACAACGAAAACATTTTTTTCCTTTAATATCACTCTTCGATGTTTCTTTTTATTGGCATTAGTGTTATATCCTTTCTCTTTCTTTTTCTCTTGCACTACGTATACTGTCTCAACACCACTTCTTTCTAGTTCTACACAATTTTTCTCTAGCGCTTCAAATGTCGTCGCTATAACTACCGTTTCTTCCATTTTCAATTTCTTTTTTTCCAGAATTCTATTTTGCAATTTCCGTTGTATAACCCAAATATAAATTGGTGGCAACACTGTCTGCAGATATTCACCAAAGTTACAGTTTACCGCCAAGTGTCGCAACGCCAAATCCACACCAATGAGGTTAAGGCATAGACCAACCTATGAAAACATTCACAAAGTTGAAAAAGGTATTGTTCCCTATTGATTGCACTAGGTTACTAGGTTACTTTGGGGGGGAATGATGTGGCTGTGAGTCTCATTTATAATTTGTTGCGTTCGCATGGCTATCTGTTGTCAAAACGCAACAGACTGTAGTAGATGAAAATGACAAGTGAATTGAAACACAACGTTTTTGTGATTGTTTCACTATTGTTGTGTTGATTGAGAAATAAAGAAGTAAAACTAAAAATCGTGTTTTTTCATAAAAGTGCATCGTGTTATTTTATATGATATTATATAGCAAAGCAACCATAAAACTTTATATAGTAAAACAGCTGTAAGTATAATGTGTTCGCAACAAATGTGTTCGCTACAGATGTAGCAGTAGTTAAAAAAATTTCCTTTTACGATTTCAAAATACAACCATGCCTTTTAAGAATAAATGATAAATGTCTCTGACTAAACATACCTAACGAGCACAACTGTTTTTGTTTTTGCCGCCAAGCTGCAAGCAATAAAGATAGAAATTTTCCATACAACAGATCAACTATTAAATTGCAAATAAATTGGTATTAAAAATAATATGTGTGATGATGAAATAAAAACGCTAAGACCCAATCGAAAGTCCAAAACAACTAATAAAAGGAATCATGAAGGATTAATACAAGAATCGACCAACAAAAAGTTAATGAATTCTGAAAATAGTGACTCTAACGATGAAGAAGTTATCGTCATCATTGAATCTGATGATGATAATGGAAACCAAACCCCGGTATTAAGACGATCCAGTCGAAAACCCAGTCCAAATAAGAAGTATTGCAAAAATTTTGTAGTGAATGATGAATGCAAAAGAAACTCACGAATACATACAAAACGAATTGTTGCAGACGATGAAGACGAATTGGAAGACAGTAATAGCGAAACTGAATCAAATATTTTCAAACCAAATCAACAAGATTTACAATTGTTACAAAAAGAATATGAAGTGACTGGTAAAAATGTATTTGGGTTTAATACTCCAAAAAAAAGAGGTGGCATGAGTTTAGTCGCAATAAACACCGCAAAAACACAAAAAACACCAGATACAAAACGTCGTAAATCTACAACAGAGTTAAAAACACCATCACATGTAAGAAATCGGGTAAAAAGCCGTAAGTAGTTTATGTGAATACAGGAATTAAAATATAGTATTTATATATTTTAGAAATAGCAAAACTAGTAAAAGTCAATTCAGATTCTGATTTCTCTGCTGATGAGAGTGAATATGAACCTTCAGATTGTGCATCATCTTCTGGCAGTGACAATGCAGATGACAGTTCGGATGATGCTGCTGATGACGAACCAAAAACACCACACAAAGGTCGACGCCCAATTGTTATTCCCTCTTTGACAAAAACCCCTTCTTTAGCACGTGCACGTCAGTCTGCGCGTGTCAAAAAAACAACAGAATATGTACCAGAAAGTGATGGTTACTTTCAATCGCGTTCAAGTAGCAAAATTGTAACATCCGATCATACACTTGATCGTTTAAAAAATCCTCGATTACCTGCTGATCGTTTGTTTAGTCTACTGGCCTCAATGAAATTATCTACTGAACATGAATCATCCATAAATGCTATTATAGAAGAATATCGGTCATACTTTTCTAAGTGGATGTATATATTAAATGAAGGCTTCAATTTGTTGATTTATGGATTAGGTTCAAAACTACAATTGTTACAATCATTTCACCGCGATATATTAGCACAGCAAACAGTGTTAGTTATTAATGGATTTTTTCCAAGTCTAACACTTAAGGATATATTGGATAGCATAACCTGTCAAATACTCGATGCTGGTATTAGTTCATCCAATCCACATGAAGCTGTTGATATGATTGAGGAGGAATTTTCACTTATACCTGAAACACATTTGTATATTATAGTGCATAATTTAGATGGCATAATGTTGCGGAATAACAAGGTTCAAGCAATATTAGCACGTTTGGCTAAAGTAGAAAATATTCATTTAATAGCATCAATTGATCATATAAACACACCTTTGTGTAAGTTAAATTTAATGCAAGTAATAATTTTATATATATTAAATATTATATGTAATTTAGTATGGGATCAATCTAAATTAAGTAATTATAATTTTTCCTGGTGGGACTGCACAACAATGCTGCCATACACTAATGAAACAGCATTTGAAAATTCATTACTTATACAAAATTCTGGTGAATTAGCACTAGCTTCTTTGCGTAGTGTGTTCTCCTCCCTCACAACTAACTCTCGTGGCATTTATATGCTAATTGTGAAGCACCAACTACATAACAAAAACAATCCAAACCACCAAGGTAGGCTATAAAATCTTTAAAACTTTATAATAAAGCCCTCTGTCAAATAAAACATTTTTATCTTTAGGTATCGCCTTTAAGGATTTATACTGGAGTTGCCGTGAAGCATTTTTAGTGAGTTCTGATTTAGCGTTACGTGCCCAACTTACTGAATTCTTAGATCATAAACTTATTAAAACCAAGCGCAGTGTAGATGGTGCAGAACTATTAAACATACCAATAGAGTCAACATTACTGCAACAATTTTCAGATGAACATGAAAAGAAATAATTATGCAAATTTTTCCATGTATTAATTTCAAAGGTAATCAAAAATTAATGTGCTCCTACAAATCATGTTTAAAAAAATATATGAATTACAGAAAATATTAGTTTTAGTTTCGCGTAGATTGCAACACTCAACACCCATAATTATGGTACAAATCAAATCTTTTGCAATTTTATTACATATTTTAATTACTACAAATTTACAAACATCATCAAATTCTATTTTTTTAACTGATGTCAAACGATGTAATCTTTCGAATAGCTCAGCATCAAATTTTGGTTTAATGATGCTTATCTTCAAACTTATAATTCTCAATATTGCATTTAAATAAAAAAAAGTATTATAAGTGCATTAAAGACTGTCGAAGAAAATAACTAAATTTATTTCTAAATTAATCCTTAATGAAACAAGAACATTTTTAAATTAAGTAATAAAGTGCGTTGCTACACTTAATTAACAAATACTCTCAATTACTCATTTGTCCCTACATTCACAGATCTGTATAAATTGACAGCATTGTACCTGTTTAATGATTTTAAAAAATAAATAAAAATACGGATATATTTGTTATATACGCATGAAGCCCATAAAGCTCAATTCCAATTAGATGAGAATATAAATATAATTACATACTTTATACAGGGACCGTAACAGTTATCATTAAAATTCAGATTTTAAAATAAAACTCAAAAAGTAATAATTAAATTTTCTTTATATTATATTAATCAAAAATAATTATTATCATGTGCTTTTTATTTTTTCAAGAATAGTCAAAAATAACTTTTTTTTTTGAAAGCAAAATATAATTTAGTATTTTTTGAGTTCTATTTTAAAACGCTCACATATATAAAAAGCATGCATAATATTAAGGAGAAAGTTGTTAGAATGATATCAATATACTTAAATATGAGTTTAGACAACTGCTTTTGTTGCTGCGTTTTTTTTGAAATTTTTTTGAAATAACTTATTTTCGATCCCTGATTTTATGTAATAAATTAAGCTGCTATTAAAATGATCAAAATGATCAGAAAGCATCGAGTATTTTCTAACAAAATATGTATATAAAAACCTATGTTAGAAGTTACGTTGAAGCAGTTTTTATTTAAGTATTAAAAATTGTTATTCATTAGTTTAATTCAGGGGCTGTTCAATGTACGGCCCGTGGGCCACATACTACAATAACTACAATTAATTTTATATTGGTGTACTGGTAAAACTACATTATTTTATTTTTATGATATACCAAATAAATGACTTCAGTAAAATTTCTACTAAAGATTTTGTGAAATAAGTAAACTGCGTTTTAAAAAACATTTTTGTTTTATATATTTCACATATTTCTCGTGTGGGATAGAGAACGGTAGAGCTTCGGTACGACGGTTTGGGCTTAAATTTCAGTAAGATCTGGCTCTAAAACATATTTATAAAAATTTTTAATGGTCGCTAAACTGATTTCAGCAAAAAGCCTTCTACTAAAATCTACATAAAACAGCCACTAGAAACCAATAGATCTTTGAAACGATTACAGCTAGTCAGATTAACCTAATCTAATAATCTGTAATCATAGCATGATAAAACAATGATTTAAAACTATATTATCTGTTGTTATTCAATAAGATTTTTAATTTATCTTATAATATTTTAAACCCTTATTACAGATAAGAGCACTGGAAGAGTTTTAAAATTCATTATTATCATCATTATCACTACCATCATTTCCGGCATTATTAATTATTAAGCAGTTGGCTTACATTTCTAGTTGTTCCTAAAATGTTAAAAATTGTTGAAAATGGTTAGCAACTTAGAGTACAAAATGAACTTTAATTAAAAACAAAACTGTTTGATTTTTTATTTAAATTTATTGATTTTTAAAGTTCTCTACAAATTGTTTTATTTATTGTTATTATCACGTTCTCTTTTGTCTCTATAATTATAAATAATTTTTAAAAGTTTAGGGAAAGTGTTCAAAAAATTAATTCTGCAAAAATTAACAAAAATATTGTTCTTCAAACTTGAAAAATAATTTAATATTTGAAAATAATAATTTATTATTTTTCAATTTTCGCTTAATAATTATTTGATTTTTTTCTTTAATTCAGTATTTGTACATCCAAAGCTTAATAAATAGTTCATTTTAAAATTGATTACATGTATTTTAATTTTTTTTCATAATATTTAAAATATATAGAAAATCTTTAGATTTACATTCAAAACTTAAATAATACGCAAATTAAAAAATAATAGTTGATTTACACAAAAATTAAAACTTATTAACATACAAAAAATAACACGCGTTAGCTTACAAAAAAAATTTTCTTAATTTAAATTTTACGTTATATTTTTCTTAGTAACACACATATATATATGTATATATAATATATGTGCATATGTTTTTTGATTTCTTAAGTTTGTGGTTTGTTTTAGTTCAACTATTTTTTTACAACTTTTACTTGATGTTTACTTATATTAAGTGAAAAAAATTTACACTCAAAATGAATAGGTTAGAGATATTTTTAAAAATTAAATTTTCTACTTTAACTATGTTGACAGAAGTTATTAATATATACTTTTTTTTGCATCAAAAATATAGAATATAAATTTTTAACCATTTTATTTTTATTTGCTACAAACTTTTTGCTGATATATAAATTTGTTTAAAAAATAAAAATAAAAATAATAATAATAAGAGTAAACAGGCATTTAAGCAAACGTACTTGTAACACAAATGAAAATAAAATGTTATTTTAAATACTTTATTATGAATTTAATTGCATTGAACTTATATTTTATAATATGGCTTAAAACAACAAAAACAATAACAAAGAGTCTGCACTTTTAAATTAATTATGAGTTAAAATTTAACATTGGTAATATGCTTTACTTTAAGATCACGGGGTTTACTATAAAGAATAATATTAGTAAATATAAAACAAAGAAGTCAGTAATTCTAAAAATAATAATTGTTTCGCATTGTCATCTCCTAACATTATTAGAAATACATACGTTATAATACATAACTGATTTAGGATAGAATATAATATTAACTGAATTATTTTCATTTGATGTGTGTACCCTCTCTCTTCTCTTTGTCATAAAAATTGTTATTGTTGTGTTGCTCTCGATATTAATTGGCGTTCTATAAATATGTTAATTACAGTACTGTTATTAAATGTTTATAATTATTGTTGCTACATTTGTCACAATTGGGGTACGTAATAAATTTATCAACAAAGTTGTTCGGTCATTTCCATTCATTTGAAAGTTGGGTTTGTTGCGGCTTTTAAAATTCTTATTGTTTAATAAATTTATAAAAAATCTTCTTTTAATTATTTTGCAAAATTTTGAGAAGTACAGTTTCTTGTTACTAAACTTGTTATTACATTTTTTG